GGAGGGAGGGAAAAATAGACATAAACCTTTTGGAGGGGAAGAAATGCTATGTTTACTGCATCCTCACCACTCACAGGATACAGAGAAGGCAATAAGTACCTGTTGAATAAAACTGACTGACTGACTGACTGACTGACTGACTGACTGACTGACTGACTGACTGCCCTATGCTTCTGAGGTCATGAGCCCTCCAAGGCAAGATTATCATATGGGTATTTGCATGCAAGCAATCCCACAGTGAGCTCTGCCCAGCAGTTCATCTTTTTAAATGTTATTCTGGTGATTTTTCTTTTTTTAAAAAGAAAAAGGGGGAGAAAGAAAAAAAAAAAGCACGACACAGAAATTTGAAATCAAAATGTATTTGTTTTCAAGTTCCATTCCAGTTAACCAACAGTTGACCATTGAATGAATGCCTTTACTTTGGCCCTTGGATAGGCAAGCTGCCTCTTTCCATAGCTGAACACAGCACTGAACTGAGTACCAATAGATCCCTATTGATTTGCAGAATAAGATAAAGTAGTTAAGCCTTGAAAAGTATTAACATTTTATCTTCATTGCCAATCAAGAAATCATCCAATTTCCTGCCTCCTGCCACCCCCGATACCAAAATAAAGGGGTATAAATTAGCCCTGTGCAGCGACACCTACAAGAATCAGACACAATCCTTGGCAAACTAAATCCTTGGCTGTACAGCCCCCGTGCCTGGGCCAGGTTTCCCCTGAAGGATAACCTAAGGGTGCAGGAGTGTTGATTTCAAAAGCGAGCCCGTCATGTAAGGGCTAAAGTTAAAGGTGAACTTTTTCAGACCGAGGAGGTTTGTCGCTGGCAGGTTGGAACACTCTATAGAAAGAAAAGGGAGATGCAGGGGAGAAGAGGGAGGGTCCCAGCCTTCATGCCCTCCTCGTGTAAAAAGCTCATGCTTGTTCTGAGGTCGGGCAACCCCAATAGGGTGGAAAGGAAATAGACTGAGCCCCAAAATGTGCTGTGAGGTGTAGCGTCCAGGGACCCTTCGCTCGGGCCTCCAAAATGCTTACGTGTCCTCAGGCCGGACTTAGGATACACACAGCCCTCACTAAGCCACCAGAAGTCTGCCCCGGACCTAAGCAAACGCCTTCAAAGCATATTTTCGATCAGAACCCCATCCATCCCCGTGGGATCTGACGGAGAGTAAGTTAACCTATAACATTATGCACACAGCTTTAAAAAAGGGAGTGATGTTTTGGAGGTTGGCTTAGTCAACTCTCTAACTGATAGTACCCCTGAGCTTAAGGGAAGGGAAAACATTTCTTAATAATAACTAGTTTTGCATGTCCCTGTACCCCTTTAAAATAAAAAAAAAGGCAAGGCCATCTGTTTTAGATTTCCCTTTTCCCTTCTTTCAGAAAAACCTGAAATGCCCAGACATCTTATGATTCACTAATACTGCCAGCCCATCTAGACTTCACCTGAATACTAACTTTTCACTGATTAGTTAGTGCAGGAGTGTGCTTCAGTCTGCAAATACACCCGCATTCCAAGGTTTTCCTTACTGTAGTTTTTCAAAGCCCCATGCTGCTGGGGAGGAGGGAGGAGGGAGGA